ACCTTGATAATATCACAAAGAAGATAAAGAAGAAGGTTAACATCATCCAGAAGCTCATTAGCACATTGTGGAGATGTGATGAATGCATGCTTCGAACATCACTATATGCTCTTGTCTTGGCATCAGCAAAAATGTGCCAGTCTGGTGCAAAGCTTCAGTGGGTAGGCACTGAACTCAACATCATGCTCAGCCTTGTTGGTGATTCTCTGAAATCAACCCCAACCAATATGTGGGTCTCTCAATTTTGGTAGGCATAGTTCCAGCCACGGTCAGGTTATGCTAGATACTGCTTGTGGCCAGGAGTACAATTTCTTGGCCACTCTGGACTAATCCCCTGTAGGCAGGGTTTGAATCAATGCTTCCATTACAGCCAGCTGGAATGGGAAAGAAATCCTGGGTGTGGTTAGGTAAAAATAGTTCGCTAAGTTTGCTTAGACCTACTAGATATTCAACAGTTAGAATGGTGTTTTGCCCGTTGTTGTGGAGCCAAACTCTGTTGACCCTAAATGCAGGAATTGTAAGATATGACCACCAATGCTTGCAGTTATTGGGGGAATGCAGAAAAGTCATACTGGCTACGTCTACACTGGCCCCTTTTCCGGAAGTAAGGCTTTCTCTGCCAAAACTCTGGAAAGTCAACTGGGAGGAGGGCAGAACTCCGAATCAGCAGGCTGCATGCACTCCAGGCGTGAGCTGTAAGACTGGTTCAACCTGTTTTGTCCCCCTCCTCCCCAAACCCGGTCTAATGTAAGAAGTAGAACAGAGTCCATAAAGAGTCTCTTTTTGATTTTGAAATGTATTCCAGCGGATGCTGGAATTTTTTGGCTGGACTGTGCTTTTGGCCAAGCGTTAAAATCACTGAGCAGCTGAAATCACAAAGGTTTGGCCCAAAGCCAAATCTACCACAAGGCTGTTGGAGGGAGCGGCCAGCAGGTAACTGGTGGAGCGGCTGGCAGGAGCAGGAAGTGAGCGGCATTGCCACATCCTCAAGGAGGGGAGACAACATGATGATGTACCTATAAGCTCTGGGTCTGCATTGACTGGACAGAGCCATGAGCAGGGTGTTCGAAGTGGAGGGAAAGCACACTATATGAGTTGGAGGGTAGATTAAAGATCTCGGGACCGTATCTTGCTTCTGGGTTTTGTTTGTGTGTGTTTCTGTGGATTAATGATACATTGCTGTCATTAAATAGACTGTTTCTGTCTCCGACCCAGTGCTTGAGAGAGAAGAATTACCTTTAAAGGCACCCAGCGGGTAGGTTTACTGGCTTGAGCCAGTTTGGGTACATTGTTGAAAGAACTCCCTAGATACTGAACTGGCCCTTCTGACTGCCAAGTGCTACCTACAGAAGGGTTACACCACCTCAGTTCACTCCCTCTCTCCGCACTGAGAGCCAAGGTTTCCACAGGACTATCACACAGGCCAATGGAAAAGCTGCCAGCACTCATTGGCACAAGTCATGGATGGCTTGCGATGTCCCAATCAAAGACTCAAAGGTAGAGATAATGAAAAATCCAACCCTCTGTCTTCCCCATAGGCAGCAGCCAGCACTGCGCGGACAGGGCAGAGAAGGGACCGATGCCAGTGTGTGCGCTGTAAAGATTCAAAGGCCGGCCAGCTGGTTAGCAGAGCCCCCCTCAGCCAGCGGGATGTGTGGCGAGCGGTGGTGCGCAGCCGCACTTGCCTCGGGGCACATACAACTGATGGGGCGGGTGGGAGAAGTGGCGGGACCCTTGGCGGGTAACTCGCACCGACAGGGAAAAGGCAGAGAACGCCCGAGCTGCGGGGATACGAGCCCCGGGACGCAGCTGCCCCCACTGTGCCTGCAGGCGGGGGGGGGGGGG